TAGCCCTTCTCATTTTACTATTATTTAATTTATTTTTTAATTTTTTTTAAACACAATTTTGTAATTCTAAAACCTGTAAAATATGCAGCAAACTGAAATATTTGTATGTCTTATGTATTACATAGAAGATAGAAGTGTAAAATAATTATTGAATCATGACAGCCGAATGTCTAAAGGCTTTCAATTCTTATTGATAAGCGCTATAAATAGCATGTATCCAATCGAAGCGTGTTCAATCGTGTGCAAAGTAACGACAAAAGTAACTGTAAATTTCGTTACCGTTACCCAAAAAATGTAACTCGTTACCGTTACAGTTACCAAAAAAAGAAAGTAACGCAGTTACCAGTAAAGTTACCAAAAAAGTAACTTGTAACTGTAACTTCGTTACAAGTAACGAGTTACTTCCATTCCCTGGCCATTTTTAACGTATTAATTATTGTTATATAAAAGAGTCCTTTAATTCTTCAATTATTTGTTTACTAGAATATCTTAAAATATTACCAATTTTAATGATACTTACCGACGAATGAAGGAGATACTAAAAGGTCAGATGATCTCGACTCTAAACCACGTTGGCCACTACCCTCATAGCGTAGCATATCCATTTCGTCGTCACTACAACCATTAAGCACTTGATTTTCATTTTCTGTTGTTCCTGGATTCCCTCGAGACCAATCTTTTCTGGATGTTTGCTTCTCTTTCGCTTTCTTTCTTTCCTTTCTCTCGATCTTGAATTCTTTTACGAGCCTTTTCAAGTTCCACATTAACATCTTCTACATCTCGCTTTTCTTGAACATCAACTGCTATTTCCTCTTCTGTCTGTGATTCATCATCTACTGTATTTATTCGAGCCCGATTCTTGTTCTCCAGCCTTCTATCTTTCAGCTTTTGCAGAGCATTTCGTACAGACGTACTATTTCTAATTTCTAATTTCTTTCTGTTATAAGTAAACTTTGGTGGTACGGGGAGAGCCTTTCCCTTTTTGGTCTATACGTGATCTTCCTCATCGCTATCAAATAATATATTTCTCTTCTTCTTTCGCATACCTCTTCCAATATCCAGGGAATGGAAAGTTACTTTTTAAAAATAACTAGTTACAGTTACTCGTTACCGAGTAAAAAATGTAACTAGTTACAGTTACAGTTATCGCTTTTTAAAAGTAACTCGTTACAGTTACCGTTACTTGAAAAATAACTTTTCGTTACTTTTTTATTACTTTTTTAAAATCTATTTAAAAATGT